TTCCCCAACACCTGGGGAACTTTATAATCTGCAGCTTGTCCTTGTAAAGATAAATTGTATGCTCTGTAGTAAGCAAAAAACAGCACACTTTGATTGTATAGTAAGTAATAGGCTTAAAAGAATTGGACAGCGGACAGTATAATGATAGCAACCTTTATTAACAAAATAATTTTGGGAGCTTTAAAACTGCATCTTCACTGTATGAGCCAAACCCCTGGAGGTTTCCACTTGCTGTTTGTTTGGGATATGCAGAGGAGCTGCGGTACTTTGTTATAACTGTGGGTACAACACTATAAAAAGTAGTGTGACAGAAAAAATTTGATCTAGAAAGACTATCCCGAAATCCAGCAGCTCTCTTACCTCTTAAGTAGTTTTTAGCACACTACTTATCGTTTTAGTATCAAACTATAACTGACCACGTGGTCCCCACTTGTACAAAAATGTACATTTGTGTACACTAATTAACTGTGTGGAAAGTAGACATGCATATTGAAAACAAAATACTAATATGGATGTGTGTGATGGTGGTGTGATACTTACACTGTTGTTCATTGTATTGTTAATGCATACATTCATATTATCGTGCTATTGGACCTAACTGCATTTGCGCTGCTACTATTAAGACTAATCTTAAAGTAAATTGCTAGTGTTTATTTTATATAAAAAAAACAAAGTTTAACATATATTTCAGCACATAACTGTCAGTTGTCCCTCAGTTCGTCTCTAGTTATGTTTACATTATATTACAGCCAGATGCTAGTGAGCTAACAGAAACGCATATCGGTTTGTTTAAACTGCCCTGTACATCATTGTTTTACATTGTGTATATTTACAGATGCTGCGTTATGTTCTTATTCACAGTTGTCTACAGTACTGATCAATTATAATGTTCAGATCAGTATCAGGACCTGAGATTTTTAAATACATGTGATCTGCACATTATTCTGAACAACATGACGTTCTCCGACCATTAAGTTCACTCCAGATTCTTAGGCAAATCTGATCAACAGAAGATTAAGAGGAACTGAAGACTTGATTTGGGATAAGATGTATTGAAGTTTAAAAATCACATGTCTGGGATGGCACAAACACTTGATGAATTCGACAAATCATCAATATTCAATGCTAATGATTATGTAGTTGTTAAAGCAAAAAAATAAATGGCTGAAAGCAGTGCTGCCAGTCATTGCTGAGTTGTTGGCACATGGTTTGTGGTGATAACTTGTCAAAGAGTGCACAATTTGTGCACAGTTTGGTGCATTTTCATTTCACTAACCTTCTCGTTCAGACAGTCCCCTCTCTGAGACGCCGTCTGTCGTCAATGTGATTTATGAGTTTAATAAAATCCCGGCCGTGTGTGTGTGTAGCTCAGGGCCATACTGTCCCTAACAATCACGCCACCAGCTCGCTTTTCACAACCTCTCTCTCCCTCCCTGGCTGACAATAGCTGTGAATGTGGCCGTGAATGTTTCAGAAGTGCCCTTGACAGACTGGCGTCCTTGAGCGAGGACACAGTCGTTACTGCCAGTTTGTTAGTTTCAAACTTGCCTTGATGTCTCCTTAAGAGACACAGGAGCAAAACTAAATTACTGTTGCATAGTTGTGATGGAGACAGAAGCCCCTCTATGTGTGGTAACAGTCTCTGTGCAGCTAATGGCATTCAATCTCCAGCTAGTCTGAGTTTTTCTAAGGAACACACTGAGATAGAGGCTTCATTTGGCAACATCTACAAGTGTTCAACCATGCGTTAAACCGCCTTTAGGAATGTGTTACAGTAGACTTTTGAAGTTTATGACAGTCCATTAAGCTAAATATGTCAGTCGTGTCTCCAACTGTGATCCTCACACCTGTACACGTGTACACACAAATCACTCAACTGTATGAGTAAACTCTTTAGCATTACACTTCTACAAGTTTACAGTAAATTATTTAAACTGAGGCACAACATTAACCTCATCATGGAACAAATATTCACATGCCACTAGTGGAATTTTGGTCTTTTGTTGCTGTAACACTTTTTGTCTCCATGCATTGATATAAGTTCACAGAACTGGTACATTTGTGTGTCTTTATTTTGAGATGCTGCTTTCGAATGCGACTTCTCCTCTGTTCATGATGGAGTTAAACAAGATTAAACTGCTACATGTTGTCTGGCTCTTTTTTAAATCTCAGAGTTGTGTGTTCCACAGGAATGCTGTCCTAAATACATGTAAAGTAAATGTTTCATTAGTATAAACACTAAGCCAGGATATACGAGATCACAGACACAGTACTTAGGTACTAGGTAGATGTACGAGTAACTAGATAGGTAATCTACCTAGTAACTAAATGGAGAACTAGATTAGTGGGAAGCAACAGGAAATAGGCAACAACGTCTACAGCCAATAGAGGAATTTATACCTGGGTCACAGCCAGGCTGAGAACCATTTGTGTAATTTCACATCCAGAAAATGCAAGAACACAAGCAGAAGACAGTTTTCTCTTGACCATTTGTCAGGATTTATAATTTCCCAGTAAAACACAAACATTGATCAATGAATCATCTATAAATAAGACTTTCATACAACAATAATAAATAATACTGGTAGTGTAAAAAGAAAAGATTTTATAACAAAAAAACGACTCTAGGCTACAGACACTGACTCTGGATTCCACCCACAGCTAACCACAGACTTTTAGCTTCACTACAGTTCTACATTTCCTTATCTCCAGTTCCTTCTAATCTGAAATGTAAACTAAATGTGCACAACTGATTGGGCTTCCAAGTTACATCACATAATCACAACAACGAGACAACACATCCATGATTCTCAGCCACATTTCACACATAAAAGAACAGTTGGCATGTTGGTCATTAAGCTAACATCAAGGTTATTTGACTTGCTGCAAATACACATCTGTTGCTGCTGTTAAGACAGTGAAGCTGAAACTGTTGACATTAACTGATTTCTAGACAGAGTTTGATTCTTCATGGTGAGCTTTAAACCTGCTATAGCAAGTAACTAAACTACTAACAGCTGGCAAGACAATGAATCATATGTAGAACATTCAGTGAGCTGTGGATCATTTAAGTACTGGTTCTAATCCGAACATGGTTTCAGATGTGACGGACTGATTTTATTTTGAACTCACGGATTCCTGCCTCTGCTTAAAGCTGTTGGGTCCGAGGGGTCACACACAGTGGAATCAAATAAGACAACAGCTGTTTCTGTGTAGCTGAAGACGAATGCTGCAGTAAAACAACCCTCAGGTCGTTGGGTCTGGTTTTCTTTTAAGAGTTTAGATCTGAAAATTATTAAAACATTATTGTTAATAGCATTACAGTATTTTCCATGACTTCCTAAATCATATTTCAAGCACTGTAAACCATCTAAATCATTTTCCATATGTCCCGGTCCTGTTAGAAGATGTGTCTGTCCTGAGCTAACACCACATAGCGTGTATGAATGTCTCGGTTTAAAACTACTGTAGGTCTGAACTATGACTGTGATATCTGGATGTGGGGATCTTGCCTTAGAGATGAGTGTCAGTGAACATAGTGTGCTCCTTTCTTGCAGAACCTAGGGCCTTCATGGCATCCACAAACTCCTCTTCCTCCACACACTGAAAGAAAGCACAGAAGTTCTCCCTGTTACAGGTACATCTGGAGTTGTCACATACTGTGAGCTCAGTGATGGAGAGCAAATGTTACACCAATAGAGCTTTTTCACATATCTGTTTTATGCACAGTTCACTTCAGATGCTTTGTTCTAGTGAGATTATACACAATCAACTTGAGACCAAATGACAAAATTCTACAGTGCCTTGTAAAAGCATTCATACCCCTTGAATATTTCCACATTTTGTCACATTACAACCACAAACTTAAATGTATTTTATTGGGATTTTATGCGATAGACCAACACAAAGTATCACATAATTGTGAAATGGAAGGAAAATGATACGTGGTGTTCAAGATTTTTTACAAATAAAAAACTGAAAAGTGTGGCGGGCATATGTATTAAGCCCCCTTTACTTTCATATCCTTAAATAAAATCCAATGCAACCAACTGCCTTCAGAAGCCACCTAATTAGTAAATAGAGTCCACCTGTGTGTACTTCAATCTCAGTATAAATACAGCTGTTCTGTGAAGGCCTCAGAGGTTTGTTAGAGAACATTAGTGAACAAACATCATGAAGGATAAGGAACACACAAGACAGATCAGGAATAAAGCTGTGGAGAAGTTTAAAGCAAGATTAGGTTATAAAAACATATCCCAAGCTTTGAACATCTCACGGAGCACTGTTCAATCCTTCATCCGAAAATGGAAAGCATATGGCACAACTGCAAACCTACCAAGACATGGCCGTCCACCTAAACCGACGGGCCGGACAAGGAGAGCATTAATCAGAGAAGTAACCAAGAGGCCCATGGTAACTCTGGAGGAGCTGCAGAGATCCACAGCTCAGGTCGGGCAATCTGTCCACAGGACAACTATTAGTCGTGTACTTCACAAATCTGGCTTTATGGAAGAGTGGCAAGAAGAAAGCCATTGTTGAAAGAAAGCAATACGAAGTCCTGTTTGCAGTTTGCCACAAGCCATATAGGGGACACAGCAAACATGTGGAAGAAGGTGCTCTGGTCAGATGAGACCAAAATTGAACTTTTTGGTCTATATGCAAAACACTATGTGTGGCGGAAACCTAACACTGCACATCAACCTGAACACACCATCCCCACCGTGAAACATGGTGGTGGCAGCATCATGCTGTGGGGATGCTTTTCTTCAGCAGGGACAGGGAAGCTGGTCAGAGTTGATGGAAAGATGGATGGAGCTAAATACAGGGCAATCCTGGAAGAAAACCTGTTAGAAGCTGGAAAAGACTTGGGACTGGGGCGGAGGTTCACCTTCCAGCAGGACAACAACCCTAAACATACAGCCAGAGCTACAATGAAATGGTTTAGATCAAAGCATATTCATGTGTTAGAATGGCCCAGTCAAAGTCCAGACCTAAATCCCATTGAGAATCTGTGGCAAGACTTGAAAACTGCTGTTCACTGACGCTCTCCATCCAATCTGACTGAACTGGAGCTACTTTGCAAAGAAGAATGGGCAAAAATTGCAGTCTCCAGATGTGGAAAGCTGGTAGAGACATACCCCAAAAGACTTGCAGCTGTAATTGTAGCGAAAGGTGCTTCAACAAAGTATTGACTCAAGGGGGCTGAATACATATGCACACCACACTTTTCAGATTTTTATTTGTAAAAAATCATGAACACTACGTATCACTTTCATTCCATTTCACAATTATGTGATACTTTGTGTTGGTCTATCGCATAAAATCCCAATAAAATACATTTAAGTTTGTGGTTGTAATGTGACAAAATGTTGAAATATTCAAGGGGTATGAATACTTTTACAAGGCACTGTATATCTTGTGTGCTGTGCCAAACTAATGAAATATTGAATAGTTTGGATACTTTGATCAGAGACCCGTGTTACCTTTATATCAGATTCATGATGATTGTTTTGACACAGTTGCTGTCACTTGTGTTGCTCTCCATTTGTTCTTTACATTACTGTCATTGGTCTCTTTTTGATGCCTGGAACTTGAAGCATGTCAGGAAGATTTTTTTTGTAAGTCAATATTTCACTTTTGAACAAATTAAACATATTACATGAGCTCAAGAAACAAAAGACATGCCCGTATTTGAACTCCCCTTCCCACCCCTCCCTATGCGTGGATTGACAAATCAGAGGTAAAATATTTAAAACAAAAAAAGCTCGGTCAAGAGGGTCGATGGAATTGCAATGCTAAGTCTTTTACTCAGCTTATAATGTCCATGCAGAACTCAACTGTTACAGGAGAAGATGAATTTATCCTAGCAGCTGAAAGTTCCTAATACAGAATCTCCAACAACTCGTTAAAACGTGACTATGCTATCAAGTTGTGTGAAAGAATCCAGGATTGAGCAACAAGTCTTTTGGCTGCTGACAGAGTGGCTAGCCATGCTTTAAGAGTTGGCTTGGGAAGCAAAAGTTCAGAAAGGTCATTGAGGAGATGAAGTGGGTCCAGCAGGAAGTTTACTTTTGTCAGAGTAGAGATGGTTTGTATTATCTCTTGCCAAAAACATTCTGCCATGTGTACCATGGTGCCTAGAGTGTCTGGAGAACAAAATGTACAGTCCAGGCTGGGAGTTCAGACCCATCCAGTATCTCTTCCAGCTTTATCTTCTGGAAGCATGTCAGGAAGATAAAGCTGGAAGTCAGTCTGCAAAGATCAGGTAATAAAAAAGCAGGACCTTATATTTAGGTCTGTGGTTCTGTGATACTGTGTCCCACACATCACCACATCTTCCTACATAACTACTGTACCTGGTTTTCTAATAAAAGCTACACTGGTATTCCTAATGGGGCTAGTTATTATAAAGCAAAGTGGTCTGTCTCTACTGCAATTATAATTTAAACATAGGAAGTAAACATATTTCCATCCTCACCAATCCAGAATCATGCCCCAGTGGGTTGTCCCAGCTTCCTTCTTCCTTCATCAGTGACTTCCTGTCAATCAGCTGACTGACACTGCGGTGCAAGGAATGCTGGGAGTAGGCCTGACTGAGGTCTATTTGGCTGGGAACCCGCGGCACAGATGTGGGGATGAACCTTGAGCTGCTGCTGAGTATCTTTGTGTCTGCCAGACCCTGAGAAATACATTTTGTTAGATGTAAAGGACCATAGCAGGGTTTTACATGTTTGAACCCATTATGTCAATGCACTGCACGTTAAGAATCAAACACCTGTTACAGAATACTAACACTATTGACACCCGAGTACAACTTGATTTTCATATGGCAGTGAAATGAAAGAAACCAATGAAAGCTAAGAAAAACTGTCATATACTCAAAACAGTGCCTTTCATTCTGGAAGGTCTTGATAAGTGTGAGGTATGCACACACATAAATGCAAAGCATGCATACACAGACAAAATGGACATGCGTGGAAAGACACCCACACGCATTCACAAGCCCATACCTCAGCGTACACAGTGTAGCTTTTAAGTATAACGTTGCTGATCTCAACACAGTCTGCTACAGTGTCAAACTGCAGGGGAACAATAAAATATATATTAAGGGTTTTGACAGTGAAAATGCATAAAATATTCTTACTGTGGGGCGATCAGAGAGGAGCACAGAGCTGGAGGGATGTTTAGAGCACAACTCAGGACAGGGTGTCTGAGGGACAAAAACAGAGAGAGAAAGTAAGAGAGGGAAAGGGTGGAGAAAGTAGTACAGGCAGGAGGGGAGTCGGAGAAGAAAGGACAAGAAACACACTGACAGAGACAAACCCAATAATCAGCCAGTGGGTAAAAGTGGATCATTTAGTCTGAGCAGCAGTGTTTTTGTTAGTTTGTTGTTAGTAATGCATGGATTAACCACTAGTAACACTATAGAGCAATGATTTTACAGATGAGTCACCGAGCAAACATGGATTTAAACAACATGATTCAAAATATTCTACAAATTGATTTAGCATGTTTTTCATTTATTTAGTTATTTGGTTAAATTTTTTTTTTATATGTACTAAAAATCAGTCTGCATAGAGTTGGATGCACCCACACTACACACTTTCACACACACAAACTAAATTTAATAACCCCTTTGTCTCTTTTGTTAATGTCTGTTGTCTCATTTTCTATGTTATGTCCTTTGTCTTGTAAATGTGTTTTCTTGTGTTGCAATTAAAATAAAATGTCTGTATGCATGAATACACACAACGTACCTTCAGACGTCTCCCTCACCACATCACGGCTTCAGGGCTAAAACACACTTACATATGGGTGCACACGTCTGCTGAATGCTGCATGTCAAGTGCACATCAAACCAACTAAATACCAGTGAGGCAGCCTATTTCAAACCAGCATCTGAAACTGATTAGTCATAAGACAGCTTTGCTTCCTGTTTTACTTTTCCTTCCCTCCTCTTTTCTCCTGCTTTTACCCCTTTGTAAACCTGGCTAAACATTGGTTTCTCTGCTCCTCTCACCATGTATGCATCTCTCCCAGCCTTCCTGCTCTTCTGAAGCATGACCAGCGGAGGGCGCTCTCTGGCTGATAGATTCTTCCTCAGTGCTCTGGAAGGTATAAAAAAAATTCATTTTGTTCTTGTCCAGGTTATGCATTTGCTCATTTTTATATCAACAAATGCAGAGCACAAGAGGAAGCCATTTCTATTCTGTTCTATACACAATGCTGCGTGCTGCATTAGAAAACCTTTGGAGCACCAGGCCCAACAGTATGGCTAGTAGAAACAGGCCAAGCAGTGCAAACAGCAGGATGAACCACAGCTCAGAGTAAACTGGAGTTGCTGACATGCTGACGCCCTGTTCACCACTGTCTTCAGGCTCAGAAGGACCTGCAGAAGGACAGGGAGATAGTCCCTAGTTAAACTTAAGTTTCATTTCATGCATCTTAATTTGTGTACTGTACTGTATGTATATCGCAACATGTTATGAAAATATAATGCCAATATAGCTTTTCTAAATTTAGAATGTGAGACAAAAACAGATTCCTGAATCAATGTGGACTTTCAGATTCAGGCTTGATGCTAAATTTGGATCGATTCTAGCAGTATGTGTGTGTGTGTGTGTGTGTGTGTGTGTGTGTGTGTGTGTGTGTGTGTGTGTGTGTGTGTGTGTGTGTGTGTGTGTGTGTGTGTGTGTGTGTGTGTGTGTGTGTGTGTGTGTGTGTGGTACCAAGGCCTGTGGCAGGGCTGTATCTGATGGTGGGAGTAGTTGCACTGCCACTGTCTGTCGTACATGTCACCTGAAATGACAGAGCTAAAAGAACATAGAGAGAGAAAATGAAAACATTTTAAGCTAAAAATCAGGGTCAAGTTGACCCTGAGTCAGGCTCAATCAGGACGCTCAAATATCCAAACGAAAATCAGACAAGATGAGATGCATTCATACACAGGAACAAACTTACTTTGGAAATGAATAAAGAAAAGTCCTAATGTGGTTCTAATCTGAAGGAAAACTCTTCTTTATACCCACTTCTTGATACTTGTCCTATCAACAGCTCACAACTACAGCTCAGTCTGTCAGGGCGACTCAGTTCTCTCAAATAATCCACTCACCTAAATCAAAAGCCTGGATCCTCCTAACCATCAACCTGACAGCCAATTAAATACATTTGTAGGCATTAAAGAACATTTGTGGACTCAGCTTTAAGCTAGAATTCCTACTTTGCAGGTGTATGCCTCCGCCAACCAGTTAAATTCACAGGAACTGGGCCGATGTCATGTCACTGTGACCTTTGGACACCAACTCTAATCACTTCTAGAGTTGTAGTGTACACTTTGCAAAACGTGAAGAAATTCTCTTATTAATTAATTTATTCTTGCACTTCTACATTCAACAGCATACTGCCTGTCAGGTATGTATTTATCTAATTAAACCTGCTATATCTTATGTCTATAGATATAGACACTCCTGTTATTTTGTTTAAATTTGTAAGTGGGTATATATGTGAATGTGCTCTCACTTTTCTGCGAGGTGCGTGGTATATGGAGATAGCTGTAGAAGCCAGTATAGATCCTCAGCTGGCTCTCAGTCACACTAAACTCCTTCAGGTACCCGTTGAGGGAGAAGGACCCCGCCCAGTCCAGCCAGATAACTGTCAGATTACTGCCCAGTGAGAAAGGGGACACATACTGGGGGGCTAGAGGAGAGAGAAGGGGCACAAGAGAATCACTGGATGTTTTTCTTAAATTTCTACAGTTAGCTGTGAGGGTTGAGGTACTGGACACATTTGTTACCTTCGCTGAGTGTGGTCACAGCAGTCCAGTTGGAGGCAGTGCTGCCCATGTTGTTGAAGCAGACAGCTCTCAGCTCATAGGTGGAATACGGTTGGAGACCTGAACAGTGTAGTTGTGCTTATTCACACAAACCACAAACAGATAGCATGCCATGCACGTACATCTTGTCCTACTTTAACTGACTTGCAGTACATCTTAGTTCAACTCTCTTATTTTATTCTTATCTATATCTATAAAGCCTGTTGAGCTTTGCAATCATCTTTAAAGGCCCACTACTGGTTGTGGGACTTGCTGTGCTATCTATTATTTTGGGATCACTCACTACTGAGAATTTTTACTGGTTTTCCACTTTTATAATTTGTATTATCATTGTTCCTCTTTCCTATTCTATGCTTTATTTTATCTATAAATATATATATGTCAGTGTAAAATTTAATTTTGGAGTGAATGCTAGTATTTTTATTATAAAGTGTGTCAAGACATCTTGTGTCTTTATTCATTTTAAAACTCTTTGTACTTGAATATCTAAGAACTCACCTGTCACGTTGTGGCTCCGCCTTTTGCCAGAGAAACAGATTTCTATTGGTCCTTCAGTGCAAGGGAGGGGAACTGGCTGGGGGGGCTGTGGACAAGATGATCTGAGATGTAGCTCACAACTGGAATGAGAGAGACAAATAGTTTTCAGTAAAGGCAAACACACTGAATAATGCATACTTTTCATGCTTTCTACTCACCTCTCAATGACTCCATTAGGTGCCAGAGGCTCGTCCCAGTCCAGCTGAACAGAGCGGCAGGTCAGCGAGACAGGAGGTGGTGGAGGCTGTTGGGTTGGGGGGGCAGCCAGGGTGTGGAGCTCACTCAGCGGACCCTGGCTGCAGCACTGACAAATGTTCAAACCAGAAACTTCAGATACTCACAGTATTTATATGTGTACAGTGTCCAGATTTTATTTTATGTTTTAATTAAACACTTGGTGGTGGGACAAATACTGCTACTTAAGTATTAGAAGAATATAAATGCTGTTATTAAGGCAGACATGTAACTTCAGTTGTATTAAATATTATGTATTATGAAAGTTTTCTTGTGTCAAAAAATATTAGGTTAAAGTATTTGAGTAGCTCTTTAATGACAGAAGAAATAACAGATGCTTAGTTACATATAATAACTGTAAAAGGCAATCCTGACCATAACGACTAAATGTACATTTGCCCTGTCAAACAAATTCTTTGCATATCACTAATGCTATTCAAAATGGTGAAATTAAAAAAAACTACGGTCATCTTATCAGTCTAGCTATAAATCCATCTAAGCTCTTTGTCTGCACTGGTTCACTTTACTAAGCAATAGTCCAACTAACCACAGTGTTTCCAAAGTAAGGCATATGCCACTAAAGAATATAGTGGATGCTACACTGCTTTATAGTGTCATTACCTGATAACAGGTGCAGGCCTCTATGCCTACCCAGTACTGGGTGTAAGGCTGTAAACCATGGAGTGTCTGCTGATGGGATGTGCCCTCTGAGAGCTACAGGGAGGGGACAGTGAGGGGGTAAATGTACGTTTTAGATCACCACAGTATCGTGAAAGAAGTGGGTGTGCCTGGGAGGAAGGAGAGGGCAAGGAGGATGCAGTGATCGCACAAAGGACATGAAAGGAAGACAGCACAGGAATCAAGCTGAGAAACTCAGTATCAGCTATTATTAAGTGTATTACTTAATACAGTGTTGTGTGCTTACCAGTGTGTAGTTGTTGTGGTTCAGAGAGAAGAGTCTGTAAAGGCTAACGATACCGTTGGGTTGGGCTGGCGGATGGACGGCCACTACTGCTGAGGTTGCCGAAATGCGTAGAAAAACAGGTGGGCCCACACCCTCAGGTGGGGCAGGTCCTGTTCTCCCATTTGCCCACGCACTGCCAGAACGGCCGGCCGAATTCACTGCCCACACCTGTTGGTCCAAATCTCCATGTTAGTCAATAATATCAAGAAGTATCATTTACATATAAAACTGACAGTAAATAACAAAAAGCATGTGTGACACAAAGTTTCAGTAAGCTTATCAATGCATTTTATTAACTCTTAATGATGTAGCCTTCTCTTAATTACCCAGTATCCACCAAACCACCAAAACGATACCAGTCAATTCATTGGTCCATCCATCAAAACTACCATCAGCAGTGAGAGCAAAACCTTTTCACCATGCAACCCGACATCAACATATCTGCATGACAATTACTTTTCACCTTCATCAAGGAGTTATTCACACACACACACACACACACACACACACACACACACACACACACACACACACAAATCTTATTTGTGTGCTTGTGCTGGGTATAATTAGAGGGTGTACACAGCCCAGGGTCAGGCAGGGTTGAGATTTGCATGTGTAAGTCATCTGTAGTCTGTCAGAAGTAGTGCAGAAGGCAGATGGATGGGTCTGAGCTTTAGTGTTGAAAGTGTGTGTGTGTGTGTGTGCTTTGTTGTTTGTGCCTGTGACTGTGAGTTCTGTGCGGGTATGCGTGTGCATGTGAGTGTGTTAAGAGTTGAATTAACCTCAATAATAGTCAATTAGACTGTGATCAATCAGACTGATTGATCTAAGTGACAGCACAGATGGACTGAGAAAGAGGGGAGAGAAGAAAGGAGGATGAAGAGATGGATGGGAAGGAGGAGGACAGGAGGAAGGGTAGATGAGATGCAAAGAGAGGAAGCAGGAGACCAAACAGAATCCAGGAGAAATTGATATTTGTAATTTCTTAATGAACCTGCTTGCACAGAGAGTTTCAGTTCTGCAACTAAGATTATATTGAAACTGCTTCAGTTTCCAGTTACACAGAGCACTTTATAATTAACCTATTTCTTGACTTTATTCAGTGGCCATACACAGGACACCTCCAACATTATAAACATCATGTATCCCAAACCTCACCTCATTCACTTTGATACACATTTTCTGTAGTGTATATTTAAAACCACATCAAAAACTCTGACCTGACTACTGTAATGCTCTATAATAGTGTACACCACTAACAACCACCAAAACTACTTGAAAAATCTTTGGATGGCTGTAATTCTGCTCTGGTCCAACAGACTGAACAGTGTGCACCATTAAACCAGTATCCAATAAGCACTGTGTTTATGTAACCTCCTGTAGTGCAAGTACAGCAGAGGTCCTCAGGATGTGTCCTGAGCTCCAAAGATGTCAGGACATTCTAACTTTAAGATATAGAAATTCAAAATAACATTGTCTGTAATGTACAAACTTTCATTACACGGATATTTAGTGCTCTTACATGCAGTCATGCAAGTAGCCGGACTATAAACAAACTTTAAACGTCTTATCAAATGAGTGCAATCACACAAGAATATGTGAATGTCAAGAGTAACATTAAGCTTAGACACCTCAGTCTCAGTGCAATTAAATTTTATTTATACAGTATAATGAAGAAGGTACATTAGGCAAAAGGAAGGTCAAAGAGATGCATGTGGTCAGCGCCTGTGAGAGATGAACCGTGCTGTTTGCGCGTGTGTGTGCGCAACTGACTACTTGAAGAGATTATTACAAATGAAACATACATTTGTTTGCCAATAAAAATTTGCTCGGTATTTCTTGGGTTTAGATCAGAATGATGGCTGCACTGTGTCGTTAAAAAGAAAACTCACCATCTCATTTTACTAAATAAAGATGTTAATAAGAACTGTTGCTTATTAAGTAATGAAAAATATATTAGTGAGATATGAAAAGCACATACAAGATGTGAATGTGGCTTACATATAACAGAAGGGACCGAGTTTTCATTTCTTTGATACGTGTGTGTATGTCAGCAATTAGTTATTAGTTCTACTGTAACTACGCCAATGTCTTATTGTAACACTGTGATCAACAAACTACTGCTGTTACTAAAGAAACTGAGGGAGAAGTGCATTAGCATCAGATGAAAGGTACTCTGACCTGACTTGTTGCTCAAAAGTTTTCAGATTTGCTTCTGTCATCACAACTTGCAGCAATAAAACAGTTCTACCCAGCAACAACCATGTTCTTCCCCCAGTTGCAACCCAGCTCAAGCCTCAACATGACGCAAAGCTTTGAGCTTGATTAAGAAGTGTGTGCCAAATGCACAGAGCAGAGAAAAAGTTCAAAACTAAAGTCAGTCCAGATCACCTTGCCCATGATCTACTGCTAAAAGGTAGAACTCATCTCTTTGTCCTTATATCATCTGCGGACTTTTTACTGCCTTCTGTACTCTCCTCTCCTACTGGACCATGATTTGGTTTATTAGACACAAAATAAAAATATATCCTGTTAGCTGTCATGGCAGCAAACGAGACGCCATGGCAACAAACTACTTCAGGAAACTTCCAGACAATATTCAAGGCTTTTGATTGGACAGTTGGACTGCGGACTTGATTCGAGTGTTCTGATAGGCCGACTAAGTTACTTGGCGGGCCCGTCTACTTAGGGTGAAGGGGCTACATTGTGTGAAAGTGGGCAGTAATTAAAACCAAGCATAAAGCTGTCAATAGGAGCTTATGACCCACTGTAATTAGCCTAATATGATTTCTCTCTCTGCACTGTGGTGTGCTCAACTGAGCTGACTTATTGTCCTTGTGTACGCCTGAAACATAGAGAAAGAAAGGGTGAGAGCCCGACAGTAACACAAGCAGATTAACAGCTAAATAAAAACAAAGCCAGGCATGCTGATGGAAAGACAAGCAGGCAGGTAGGTGGGGAAGTGGACAGACTGACAGATGAACAGAGCCTGAGCAAATATAACTTCGTATTTGAAAACTGCAAGAAATGGCACAAAAAATAACTTCAAATAAAAAAAATTTGTAAATTGTACAATATTTGCTTTCCCATCTCGGAAACACACACACACACACACACACACACACACACACACGCATAGTACCACTGTGTACATGTGTTCTTGTCTACATGCCCCAATCCCCCACAGCCAAAGCCTCAGGGGACATGTAGCGGTGACCATTAAAAGGTCTTTGCAATACAAGCTCTGTTACCAAGGGGGCTAACAGTTAATTCGATTGGCTGGCTGGTAATCAGGAAGTGGGTGCTCTGAGGGCCCAGTGATTAATGGCTCGGTTGCCCGCTCGTCATCTCCCTGAGCTCCTTCCTCCCTCCCTACTCCTGTCATAAATTAGGACCCTCGTAAATAAAGACGGCACCACAATCAGGCAAACTCAATCAATTACAGGTTCTCTGGCCTCAGCTCGTGTGTCTGACAGGCAGGAAAGCTAATGTTATTGTTGCTTTCAAAAAACTTGCCTGCCAATGCACAGCACAACAGCATGAATATGGACTCCCCATTTAACACCTGTCTGATTACTCAGTTTGTGTATTGGGGCGCATATCTCCTTAGCATGCTGGCGTGTATGGATGACTATATTAGTCTGATGCGTGAGCATGGTCCGCTTGTCTGTGTGTGTTTGTGTGTGTGACTGGACTTTTGGAAAATATTTCATTGCGAAAAGAGGCTAAATCTTCTGATGTGTCAATCACATCAGATTCCATCTACAAATGAGGTTCATAGATCACAATAAAACATACAACTCTGTTCCCATGTCCAATATAGAGGACAAAAAGGATTACATGTTTCTGTCAGCGAGAATATATAGCATGTTTGTGCATATGAAGACACCATTTGCATTATTTGCCATTATTTCTGTTGTCCTTGCTCTACAGCTTTAGAATTTTTCCAATTCTTACTTATCATAAAAAGTTTAATGTTAATCTGTTTTTCAGCATTTACCAAAGAAGCAATTTCTTCTCCAATCTGGATAAATATCGGTTAAATTTTAAGAGGAATAAGCAGTTAGTATTGATTTGCTGTAACCTTGCTGTTCTATACACACTTGCATCTAAAAGCACAGAGCATTATACCTGGTACTGGTAAAGAGTGTATGGGTGGAGGCCTTCATCTCTGTATGTAGTGGAGTCATTCCTGTAGACAGGTGCTGCTGCATGGCTTCTGAGGGTAGGAGTGGTATGCTCCAGTCTGCGGTACAGCTCATAATGTAGGATTCTACCATTTGGCTGAGCTGGAGGAGACCAGGTGAGCAGAAAAGAGGTCTCTAGGCCTGTGCGTTCGTCAGGCTGCAGGTCTAATAGTGGCGCTGTCTGTCCAGCAGGGGGAGCCTCTAAAGTAAGCACCGATGACCAGTCACTAGAGGAGCAACCCAGTGCTGTGCAAGCCTCCACCCTCATCTCATACCTGTGCACACACAAAAGAGGCGAGGGAGTAAATCTGAGCTCAGATAAGGATGAGCTGAATGGATAGAAGGTCATCAGAGAGGGCGAGGAGCAATCTTTAGGTAATAATCTAATCACGATACACTGAACACAAATGACGTACAGGTATAGACAGACATACAGTAGCTGCATATTCATCCTTACACACGAAGACACACACGCACATTTTGTCTTTTTGTAAAGCCCCTTTCAGACATGTACTGGAGCCATGAAGTTCTCTAAACATTGCCCAGAAGAGCAGTTTGTGAGAGTCAGCTGATGTGAACCTTGAGCGGACTTTTCTCTGCAGGTTTTCTAGTACACAGCCCGCATAAGGTCCGAATGAGCTGGAGTGCACATGTGTGAGAAGACAGCAGTGTATAGTCTGGAGTGTCCACAGGGAACTAGGGGGCGTGTTGACCGGCACGAAATTGGAAAAATACAAACATCGAATGATGAAGATAAACAATCATTTACAATGAAGATGCAAACAAAAGTATCAAAGTGGAGACATGAGGAGATTCTGGAACTTCAATTGCTGTGAGCTGGTGCCAGAATCATGAGACAGAAAGAGACCCAGTTGTTTATGGCCAAATGACAAACTGGCTACGAGACCGCATTATGTCCTGCCTCCTGTGCACTCTACCCAGGTGTGCCTCCCTTCGCAGAAACCAAAAGGGGTATTTCCAGCAGGTGAGAGCACATCTGACACGGACCATCTCCTGTTGTGTGCTACATGTTTGAAAAGGCAACTCTTGACAAACGGGCATCACAAAAAGGCTCTGACTTGAGCACAAGTATTAATTCTCACAAAGGCATAGGCCACTAATGTAGCCAATGGTGTAGGCTCTATGTAGATTAAACGTAGAACTATAAAGTAAGCTTTATTCAATAATAGCTATTATCGAAATGAAAATGACGTGAACTTAGCTCTGTTATTAACTCATTTGTATAGAGTCTAACAGTATCTTTTTTTTTGCTTTGACTGACCTGTGGTAAGGAGCCAGGCCATGCAGAGTGGTTTGTCGTTCAGAGAAAGCACTAGTGTCCGGAGTGAACAGAGTGCTGGTGATGTTAAGTTGGACTGGATCTCTCTGATACACAGTGTAACACACAATGTCTCCATTAGGACGGGCCGGAGCACTCCACTCTACTCTCACCTAGAAAGATGGTACAGGAGGTAAACCTCAACATTAGTTGTGTCATGACTCAGCTGATACTGTATAAGGACTGAACAGATGAATGACCCACCTGCCGTGGTCCCAGAGGTGTCAGCATGGGGAGACCGACACCAGAAGGAGCTGATGGGTGAGTCTTTGTTGTGGCTGTGGCGCTGTTCACTGTCCCTTTGCTGTTGTTGGCTGTGACAACATAGTGGTATTTTACACTTGGCAGGAGTGTAAAGTCATGGTAGTGGGTCTCTGTGCCCACATAGATAACTTCACCATCTCTGCGGAGTTCATATCCTGTGATAATGCCATTAGGATGCTCTGGTGGCCTCCAGGTAATCTCCACTGACTCTGGGCCAGTGACCTTCAAAGGAAAGGTCACAGGTCACACCATGCATTTCATTTTTGAGTATAGCGGATAGATCAGACAGTGTTATCTAAAAAGATAAGAGTTGATGAGACATTCAAACAAATTTGTGCAAGAGGCCAATTTCTGCAGAACTGAAATTCTCCTGGATTAGTGCTGAAATGGCTTCTGAACTGCAAAACATGTCCAGTTCACTTTGATTCATTCACAGGTTTAAGCTCAAAGTCAAACACACACCTTAAGAGTCGGGGCAGGAAGGCCAAAGGGAGGAGCCTCATCAGTGGCAGTGGATGTTGCTGTGCTGGCAGTGCACCCACCGCTAGTACAAGCCAACAGAACCAGCAGATATGACGTGTGAGGCTGCAGATCTGACAGCACTCTATGTCTGTCTCTGCCACAGTAAACCTCTTCATTGTTCAGTTTCAACACATATTCCCTAACCTCTCCGTTCTGTGTCAGTGGTTTACTCCAGGATACATTTATACTATCAGATGTGATGCTGCCCACTGTTGGAGCTTCTACTGTAGCAGGCGGGGCCTCAAGAGTTGTGATGTTTGTATGAGGGCTGGTGATACATCCCTCAGATGTACAGGCTATGACTGAGTAGCTGCAGAAAAGCATACAACAGAGTAAAACTTTAATCATATCTATTAAAAAATATAAATTTACTTGTGGTTGGTTATGTGGAACTTCCACAAGAAAACATTTATGTTGGTTTATTTGAGACTACAAAATGGTATGAGTAAAGGCAAGCAATACCTATATGTTGAGAATGGCAGGAGGTCTTCATCGGTATAACTGAGGACAGTAGGATCAAAACTAAAAGAGAAACTGACATTGTTCCTCTGAATCCTATAAGACTGAAGAACCCCATTGGGCTCCAGAGGAGGATTCCAGGACACCAGCACCTCACTGGGCTTGCCTTGGATGTGACTCACTGTTGGAGGGGCGAGACCACGAGGAGGGGCCTGCCTGGTTGTCACAGTTACCCAGGGGCTGCGGGTGTGTCCGGCAGGGTTGTGACTACGGACACTGAACTCGTATTGAGTCCAGGGATGCAGACCAGTCACTGTAAAGGAGAAGGTGTCAGCTTGTTGTGGGGATGACTCTCTGAAAAGCACCTGTTGGAAACAGAGGTGGATGCTTACAGATGTACAGTAAAGCAGTTTTCATTTAAAGCTCCCATTTAAAAATAAGATATACTGACCCCTGGGAAATTTGCTGCATTTTGACATAATATTTTTATTAGTCATAAGAACAGAACTGAGGTGCAACACTCATTTCTATCAAGCTAAATAACAAATGGCCAAAATGTCACTAGATGTGTCCTTAATGTCACCTACCTTTCCCCTTTCAATATCCCCTTCATCACTTCTTTCCGTCCCCGCTTCCTCCAGAGTTCTCCCAAGTAAGAAATACTCTTCAATTGGTCCGTTGGGTCGGGTGGGAGGGCCCCAGGTAAGTGACACATAGTCTGGGCCAATGAAGAGAGGCCTGGGAGGAGGCTGGGATGCAGGTGGAGCTGCTGCTGTGGTGATAGGCTGGGGAGGGGTTTGTGTGCAACCTGCTGAGGTACAAGCTTCAAGACTCAAAGTATACACAGTCCATGGCTCCAAACGGCGAAAGAGGAAACTGCGTGATAGCCCACTGAACTCCAGGTTCCCCTCACTGTACAAGTTGTACATCTGGAAAGGAGGAGAGGGAAAGCAGAGAAGAAGAAAGTAAAGTATCCAGTCCAGTGGAGGACATAGGTGGAAGGAGACGCCAACGAATGATAGGGAAAAAAAAATCATATATACAGTATGTGATAATGTGTATTTGCTTGACTGTACTGACTTGATGAGCAGGCCTATGAGGAAATATGTGAAGTATGTCCATGAATTTGCAAATGAATGACATGAGTAAACTTGTATGTTGACAACATGAGTGGGCTTTTGTAAACGTGTCTGTGTATACATTACTAGTATCTATCTGCTATTTCTACTTTTTATTTGTGGGGCACCGTGCCCTGCTTCACCTGCTCAGTGCTTTGTACATGTGTTGTTTTTGTTGTACGAGATGCATGTACCGTGATGACTCAGTTTGGAGCCCGTGGCTGATCCCAGCTCAGCAGCAACGCCCTGCCCTGCTCTCTCTGCTGCACTGTGAAGTTAGTCAGGCCAGCTGGAGACGCCTCCATGGTCCTGATGTCTACCCATGGACTGGACACACTGCCTGAAGGGTTACAAAAAACTGAGACTCAAAGTTGTTGTTCAGGGGCTGGTGCTGATATTATCTGTCCCTGATCTAATAATGAAACCTACCTGCCCCATTAACAGCTTCTACTTGTAGACTGTACTGACTGTATGGTTCAAAACCATAGACTGTTGCTTCTAGGACTGAACCCTGAGAGACAAACAGAGAGAGTAAGGCATGATGGTATGAGAAAGCAGGAGACAGAGACGAGAGAGGGATAGTTGAAAGGAGGGAGGGAAGACAAAGGAATGGCTGGACAACAGTTAAAAGGAAACAGGGAAGCGGGTAGTTAGACAAACAAACCCTGAATGAATGAAATCAGCACATTATACATTAAAATGGGGGATGAAAAGGAACAAAGGCAAGTTAAGGTGACTTGGGATCTGTGATATCAACATTTCAACATACAGGCTCTGCCTTGGTGAAGTAAGTGGACACCAGAGAAGTGGCAAAGGCATGGGGTCGTCCCTTATGGGTGAATTCAAAGCTTCCAGACCGAGAGTTTATGTCACACAGGCACCCTTTCATATCACAAACACAGACAGAGGCACAGTGTGTCTGCCAGTACCTGTAGGCAGTGGGACCTAGCCCAACACCCTGGGAGACACAGGGGCAGTACGTCTGTATGCGTATGTGTGATACAGTGGAAACACCATTTACTAACTGATAAGAGACACACTGTTGTTTCAGGAGGCCCTGGCATGCGATGCCATGGTAATCAGGGACTAGGCTCTAGGATGTGGCATTGCCTACTTGTTTATGGCTGTGAGCCTTCAAGCAGCTAAGAGAGTGATGTCTCAGTGCGTTAACATATCTCTGTGAGTGTGCAACATAGGTTATTGTTTTATGTGTTAAGTGTGCAGTTTTTACAATTGTCTGATCAGGAATATATGCTTCATTTAAACCAGCATATGTAAAGAGATTAACTGGTAACCCACTTCAGTGCAGTAGGAAAAGGATCAAAAGGGCTCCAATTCAAACTGAGTCAAATGAAAACCCTGACAAATCACTGTAGCGTGGCACAAGGATGAACTGTCTGAGCAACAACCAGAATGCTTATATTCACTGTTTTAATGTCTGGCAGCCAACGTGTTTTTCAGCCACAGTAAAATAGGATTAATAAGCCCCTAGACACAAGCTAAATCCTCCTGCAAATCACAGCACTTCTCAGCAGAGAGAGGGAGGAAGGGAGCCAGCGAGAGTGACACTGGTGGAGAAAGGGGAGGAGGGAGGGAGAAATAAAAACCAAAAGCAAAAAGAGGATGAAATAAAGTAAATGCAAGTAAGGCAACGTAGGACAGAACTAGAAAAGAGGGGTAGAAAAAAAAGTAAGAGTTGAGCAAGAAATTAAAAAAGGGAAACCAGGGGTAGGGTGGGGGGGTGAGAAGACAGGGATAGAGTGAACATTTAAAAAAAAAAGCAGAAAGCTAAAGTGGGAGGGGAAAAAGATAGATGTGGCAAAAGCGAGAGACAGATTAAGTGAGCGAGAATGAGAGATCTCTCTACCTTAAAAGCCAGTGAAATATGTGAGGCATGTGGCCTATAAAGCGGTTAACATATGCACATTGTCAATAGCAGCATCTGGCACTGGCAGCTTTTATAGGAGCATGGAGACTCTGCTACACGCCTCTAGATGGCAATGCATTCAAACACTTTATCACTGAAACACCACATTAACGGGCTCCTCACTATATCACACACACACAAGCTGGTTTTTCTATAGTTTTGAGGACATTCACTTGTATAATGAATTTCCTAGTCCATTATCCTAAACATCACAGGTAAATGCATAACCTTCACCTTTACCCTAAACCTAACTCTCAAACAGCCTCTTGATTGTGTGAGGACTGGCTCAAATGTCATCACAGTGTTAGTGAACTCCGGTTTGACCACACAACTATACACAAATATGTACACATACTCACACACACACAAAAGAGACACTTTCAGGCTTCTGATAATGCATGTATTACAGAATATGTAGGCAAACACACAAAGATACCATAGAAACACCAAGATGAATATCAGAGTTAAGGTCAATTTAATACTAATATCTGCCGTGAAGAGAAAGACCACACAGCTGGAACTTAATTCACCAAACTTGTGTTGGTAAGTCTTCCTTCATGTACACTACATTTGTACTTAATGTATATTAAATAGCCTCTGACCTTGATGTGTGTAAGATTAAACACTCAGAGCTATTAAGCAACTATTTTGGATAAATATCATTCTTCAGGACAAACGTTGGTGCTGGAGTTATATAGAGGCAATAACTGTTTATAAGGATAAGGATAATGGTTCTAATAATGAGGATTTTTACTTTTGTATGCAACATCAGCAAATGTATAGCTGCAGTACAGCAACTGTAAGGGACTGTGGCCGCAAATACTGCTTTTGGTAAAGGGTTGGTTTCTGTTATGACCTTTTGAAAACAATGCCAACCTAATAAGACAAGAGGACCTCGTGAACAGCTACAATGTAAAATATGAAAGGAAAAGGTTCTCATCACCCTAAATTCAGCATGCATGAGTATGGGCATGATCAAAGTCACTAGTTAATCATGCCAAATGCAAAAGAACAGAGGGGGAGCAAGAAGTCGAGAGGAAACGATGGGCCTGGGGGGTGAGGAAGATCTGCACAGATGTAAAGGAGGAAAAATGAAGTGTAAACAAGACAGAGAGAGAGAAAAGG